TATTTTTAAGTTTTGTCTCTTTATAACAAGGCTAAGTAGATGTGAACCTTCAAGGATGCTTTAAGGGCTTCAAAAGCAGGAATATACAAATACAAATTATTTTAAACAGCCGATGTTCCTTTTCACTTATCAAATATCGAGTAAATGAACTTAAGTCTCAAATGCATAAGATTTGGCCCTACCTTCTCTCATTGCTTTCCTTCCTAAAAAAGACAAATTAATTAGATTCAAACTTTAGCTTAAAAAAGAGAAAGATAAGCCAGTTTCAGTTAATAATGCCCTTTAATCAGTAAAAATGATTAACTTTATTGTCTTGATTTATTTTTATTTTTATTATTGTTTGACAATATGAGAAGTACACATGAAGCATTTCATCTGCATATTACTGTTTCACTAAAATGTTTGTTTATTCTTGAAGAAAAGCACTGGTGCAACTGCTTGAGTTGCAAGTTGAACTAGCCACATTTATCATGGAACTCCATCTTTTTTTTTTTTTTTTAATTTGAAAGATTAACTGACAAACTATGGTTTTTCAGATGTGGGTACATGGCAAACATTTTATCCAAAATAAGTCAAGTGAACTTGTCACTTTAAGAAAAACCATTGACAGTATGTAGTTACCAATGATAAAATTCAAGCTTTCAAGTGAAAATTAGAATTTTGAAAAATGTAACGTGTCATTACAAGTTCAACAGCTTTCCACTACTTACTTTTCTAACAAGATCAGTGGTAATATTTTTCAAAATTAATTTACTTTATAGAATGAAATGTGTTAACACTTGGAAGAGCTGCATTATTCCAATAGTTTCCAAATGACCACTGAATGTCACAAAATTACTTATGAGTTAACAGAACTTTCCAAAGTGAAAAAGAGACCAATAGATTTTAATGTAACAGAGTATAAAAAGTTTCTTGGTATTGTTTCTGGTCTAAAATTGCAACTAAACTTTAAGAAACCATCACTTGTTGAGTTTTTGTTGTATCAAAGAAGTCCAGTCACTTGAAAAGACTATTAAAATATTCCTCTTTTTCCACCTACAGATGTCCCCCAAACTTATGATGATGGTTCAACTTATGATTTTTTCAACTTTACAATGGTGTGAAAGCAATATACATTCAGTAGAAACCAGCTAGGCTAAGTTATGACGTCTGGTAATGTAGGTATATTAAATGCACTTTCAATTTACAATATCTTCAACATACAATGGGTTTATTGGGACATAATCCCATTGTTAAGTCAAGGAGCATCTGTATATTATTTGCATGAAACCAGGTTTCTCTAGGTAGTTCAACCAAAATAACAATGCAATGGATTAAATGCAGAAGCAATATGAGAATCCAAATTTCTTTAAGAAGGCAGATATTAAAGCTTTGCAAACAATGTAAAACCATGGGTCTCTCGATAAAAATACATTGTTAACAAGTAATGGGTTTATTATAATGTTCAAGTGAATTAATAAGCATTTTTAAAATTTATAATACAGTCAATATCAATAAAGACAACTTACATAAGCAAAAACTCTTTGGGACCTGAAATAATTTTTATGTGTACAGGAGTCCTGCGATCAAAAGGATTGAGAATTGTAACTTATCATCACTAAGAAAGCATAATTATTGTAAATGCTGCTTAGATTCAGAGCAAAGAGAAACAAGATTAAAGTTTTATAATCCCTGAAAGTTTATCAGAATGCAACAATTTGCTTTTATTTACCAATGCAACAAAGTTTGTAGTTTTATATGTGACTCTACCAAGTCATTTAATTTATGCATTGATCCATGATATTTATCAACATTAGTTTTCTGGCAATAAAAATTTAAGAAATAATTAAAAAAATAGAGCCTAGCCCCTATTTTTCAGTCTCGGGGCAGTTTTTACTCCTTCACTGTTTCTAAGACATACTAATTTGTCTTTTCAAATTATGTTTTGACCAATTTATACTAATATACACTTCTCCTTTGTGATTTTTCCCATGTACAAGTAAAGCAATTAGTTAAGACTCAGGAAATTTGTCAATAAAAAGCTATCCAGAAACTCTTAGAATGTAACTCCATAAGAGAAAGGCTTTAAGTAATTCAATATCCCTAGATCTAAAATAATGCCTAGATGTATAAAGTTCTATGCATTTTATGTAAATTATTCCTCAAAAAAATATTTCCATAAGTAAGTATCGGGCACAATAAATGTTAAATAGCATGACTGAATCTAGCCATCAGGTCATCTCTAAGACACATGTCTAATTTGAAATACTGTGTCAATTTCAATCCTAGTACGTATATATACGTACATAGTTCTTGAATACATAATGAATTTTGAGATTATGGTAGAACAATATCCTCAGGCTACTAATTATAAGCATCCAAACTGCATAAAACTAAAAAAAAACCACTGGTAGTGCTAAAATCTAGAATTCGGGTTGGTTTTATTAAATAATGAAGTGGGTGAGACAGTCCTATGTTTTTGAAAAGTATTTATTTAAAAATAAGATTTCTAAAAATACAGTACATAATACATTTCAAGAGAAGTAAAAATTCCACAATTTAAATTAAAAACAATCTACAAAGAAAAATAGAAATATTACATGAATAAAATTAAATCATTAAAATAAAATTTAAAAACAACATTTTTCTTAAGGTAGATACATAGTTTTCCACTTTAAGAACCAGTGTAGACTTCATTGAAACAAGTATATCTCAGATACATGGTTTGTACCTGTCATTTTCCTCACTCTTCTCAATCTAGTCTTTTATCTCTCAACTATTATTTTCCTTATTATCATTAGCACTAGAAACAGTGAAGGTTTTCCTCAAATGCTCTTAGGGGAACAGACAGGGTAAAACAGGCAGTGCAGCAAAACAGCAATCACACATAAACATACGTACTGAATGAAAAAATGTCCGACCAATTTAAAAACAAGATCTTTATATGGCACTTGAAACACCCCACTATTAAAACAAAAGTCCTTTATTTTAGGGCTACAATATTAGGGGTCGACACAAAATTTTAGAAGCCTCAAAACATCATAGATTTTGCCTATTCATTAAACTTGCTGGTCAAGTTTTCAAAAATGACTAACTGCAGAGACAAAAAGCTCATACGACCATGATAATCTGTGCTCAGCCCTCCTTCAAACTGCAACTCACTTGTCCGAATATCTCTGATCGTAGAAGAAATTCTTCCTATCATATCATTTAGTTGCTTTGTTCTACCTATGCTAAAGTAGAAATTTCTTTTTAATATTCATCTCTGGATGACAGCAGACAGTGATGAATTCTCTACTATCTAATAGCTTGAACAAATAACCACATTTGGCCACATTAATTTAAATAATGTATAATATAATAAATAAGCTGAATAACTCAGAACTGACATTGTGGCAACAAAATCTAGGAAATATATTGTTGACAATTAGAGAGAGACATAATGTTGCTTCTTCTCATTTTTCTTTTGAATGCTACTTTTACCTGTAATTGACATCTATAGCTGTATTTCTACATATCATTCAAATGATCCTAAGACACCTTTCATGTAAGTGTCGGACTTGATTCTTTTTTTCCATTCAGGATTCACTGCAAAACCATATATTGTATCTACAGTAAATGAGAAAATTTTTTCACTGAAAATAATGCAAAACATTCTCAAATGTGATTGTCTACTTTTCCAATACATACACACTGTTATCTTCTTGCCCAATTTTTTAACCATTTCGGCTCCAGTTTTAAGGATGCCATATATGAGTATTTTGAAAATTTGTGGAAAAACATAGGGAACCAGAATAGTATACATAGCAGTATTACATTTGGACAATTATAAGTACTTCTAAAGGGTATTTTCTCCTATCTTTTGTAAAATAAATCACTAAGCAGAATTAGTTTTTAAAATAACTCTAACTTTTTATGTAAAGTGAATAACATCATACAGATCTTTTTTGTTGTTGTTAAGTTCAATTTTCTATTACAGTTTTGCTTAAATCAAGTACATTTGCATTTCCTCTTGAGAAATGTCTATATATATATATATATATTTTTTAAAGTGTTCTTTAATTTTATCCTTATTTGCAAAATAGACAAATGGTAATATCAGTTTTTAATGCCACTAAGGACCACACACACACACACACACAGATGCAGAATTCTTCATTTGTAATTACAGAGGGCCCTTACCTTTTCATTTTCGCATTTTTTTTCAGCATTCATTAAATGGGCCCAATAATCTATACAGTTCATTTACAGAAATAAAAGTAGATTTATTATTTCTCATGTATTCCTGCAGAAATAAAGCAAAACCAAAATATCTTGTGGAGAGCGCTGCAATTATCTTTTGTAACTTCAACCTATTAAACTACCTTTTAAAGCAGCCAATCTATATTAAAATACAAAATGAAAAAACATACGAATCCGCCTAACTAAAAAAAAAAGTTCAAATGAGAAATATCTAAACTCAAACTGAGGCAGCAGTGTGCAAAAACTCAGGTCAGTTAATCAATATTGTTCTTAGTAACATTAAATTCTACTTCATAAACACAAGGATGTGAGAAGAAAATTCTCATTCAACCAAAAAGAAAAATTAACTCTTTGGTACAGAAAATAAAAATGTCACTCAATGCTAAAGTGAGTAGCACCAGGATCTTTTGTAGAGGTTGTAAAACACTAACTTCAGGCACTAGTAGGTTAAAATATCACCCAACGTACACCGGCAAGAACACAAAGCTTGTAATATGCAATCTTTCCCTGTAATTAACAGCCTATGCAATTAAACCCTGTATTTAGTCAAACAGGCAAGCAAAACCATAAAGAGAAACACATTTTCTTGTTGCCTTTTGTCTACATTATTGTTTATATATAAAGCTATCAATACCAAAACGATCGGAGAGTATTGAACAACTGTGGCAAACACTCCACTACATGTTACAGGTATTCACAGTACTAATAGATATAGAGACCTTCAAGGTATCAAGAACTCCAAAATAGCCCAAATTTTAAAGTGAAAATGACTCTTTGTATATAAATTGTTGGTTTTTAATCTGGTAACAAAATTTACTATAATACTTAGTATCTTTTCTTTCCAACAGGAGACTTGTGAAAAAGGTCCCAGTTTTTTCAATCGAACTTTGGACAACTTATTTATTTCTTCTCAGCATTAAAAAGCTGCACCTTCACATTCTTAACCCTGCATACTAGCATACACTACACTATCATAACATTTAAAATTTAAGATATTTCTCAGAGGCATCTGACTAGCTAAAGAGAATTAGCAATATAAATTCTTTAGATAAATAGCTCAAACTAAATGCTTGCAAGCATCAACGACTCAAAGTAGAATGGTATCAAGAACAGATAAGGCTAAATGATTATACCAGGGGGATTTTGTGATGTCACAGAAACGGTATCGAGTTTATCCTGTTGCTGAGAATGCTTGCTGATTATCCATTACTGGTCTAGCCTTCTCTCCATCTTAATAAGTTCCCCTATCCTCTTTCTCCGATTTTGGCTACTTACTACTCATTTATACTCTATGTCCTCTATGGTGGACTAGAGAAAGAAAATATAATAGTAAAAAAATATGATAATGGAAAATAGCAGCAATACTTATGACTTTAAATACCATTAAACTTTAAATAAGAACTTTAAATACCATTGTTATTTCTGCTTCAAATTAGCACTAGCAGGCATTACAATATCTGAAAAACAGACAAAAATGCAGTAGACTGTTAAAAACTGTACAATGAAAATGAAAGGAGATTTCTGAGAAAACAGTCACTTTCCTGAAGTGAAACCATCATCCCAAAGGCAGCGGAAATTCTAAATAGTGATACGTAGAATAACAACGTTGGTTCAAAATACTTTAAGCAAGCTGGTTCTATTACTTTCTCACATTCTACTGTAGAATATTCTAGAATTCAACTGAGAATGACTAAATTCAGAATATAATGAAATTTGTAATTTATAGTTAATTCAGAGGATGATTCTTAGAATAGAAGGTAACACTGTGGACATTAAATAACATATTCATTTGTTAATTATGTGGTTAATACTACTAGCAAGGAGAAAATACTAAATGTACATGACATAATACATTTGTCAACACATATGTTTTTGAAAGCAATACTAGAACTGGGTAAAAAAATCTAACACTTGTATCTATTAGTAAATTATTTAACGTTTGTAAGTATAAACTTTACCATATAAATTCTAGATATACCTAAGTATATTAGAGGTCATGTCAAAAGCTTATTTAATGAAGCAGCAATAGTTTAGTAAATCTGAGCTAGGTGATATATTTCTCCATGAAGCAGAAGGGAAGTAGTTAGAGACTAAGAGGAGAGACTAGCAGCTTTCTTAATATTAATGCCATTGTAAACCACTGCTGGACACACTGTGATTTTACAGCAATACACATGAGAACACCCGAACTGCCCCATGGCCTAACTCACAGAGAGTTGTGTGGCCATAATCTAAATTATTCGCACTTCCTGACTGGAAGTGTTGTCCTAACTTAAGTCTCCATGATTAGCATTCAGAATTAATATACCCTTTTGGGTGAAACATATCTTCAACTACTTACTTATATAGAAATGACCTGAAAAAGCCTGAAAAGAATAGCTATAATTAGCCACCATTCTTAGAGAAAAATACCTCGAAATATTAGCAAAAATGGATGTTCACTCTGACAGAAGTTTTAACTAACCGTGTTGTTATATTGAACTTTATGTACGTTTATGCTCTCTACTTCTATTACTATTAAAAGTAAACTATGCTTTCTTCTGTTAAAAGAGATTAATATATTAACTAAAAATTTAAATACAGCTATTGCTTATGTTAACCACAAATATTTTTAATACAACTCTTAAGCAAAATAGTATTTTGCTTATAATGGAATATCAGTTAACTTAATATTTTTAAACTATAAGTCTTGGATACAAAGTACCAGAAGCTCTTTTACTGAATACCTGCTGTTTGGGGGACTGGACTGTAAAGTGACCAGTCAATTTTTGTCAACAATCTTGAGCCCATAAAGATTTTTAACAAAAAGAATAACAACAGATATAATTCTTCAGGAGGTGTAACTTATAATATCTAGGTAAAACTCTTTGATTTCCAGAAACCCAATTAATGACTTTGCTGATGTGAAACATCGTTTAAAATACATTTTGCTTAGAACAAAGTGGAATGTTTATAAGGAACTACTTCATCAAATCTATAGATTACATCAGTTACCTCACAGCTCACAATTATTTTCTAAAGTTCAACATAATTATTTTCATGGTTAACCAGAAGACATAATAAATTGGCTACTAAAGCTACAGCTATAACTCTAAGTAGGAAAGTTTTAAAAAAATGAAGAAATGTACAGAATTATTAATCTATTATTTTAATGCAACAGAATCAGTAAAAAAAAATCATTCCAAAACTGAGATTAAAAAAAACTAAACATATTTTTTAGGTATCCAGTAAAAGACATTAGATACTTGCTTGCCACTATAACTACAATAGATTATGACTTTTCTAATTCTAATGACTTAATTTGCCAAAATAAGATTTAAAATAAAATTAATTAAATAGTTTACATTTGTTTATCCTGATCTCATATAAATTTGTAATTGATAGTAAAAAATATAAGAATATACAAAAATGAAGCAAAGTAGTCATAGTTTTGTATAAACCAGATGTGACATCATGAACAGGAACATATTCATTTTCATTAAATATTACACTTTTGTACATATACTCCTACATTTGGACCTCTGACATGTTCAGAATATGGCTATACAATTTACTTGTGGGGCAGTAAATCTCTAGAGCCAGTATAATTACACCAATTAGCCAAAAGAGGGCGCAGAGAGAACACTAGAGTTCATGCACTCCCTAGGAAACTGTAGTCAGTTTTTTCTCAAGCTGTCTAACAAGAATTCAAAAAACCTATAGTTAGGTGTGCTAATTTGGGAATACTGAAAGTTACAGTATAAATATATATTTATATATAGACTTTAATATAGATTCTTATATAAATATATTGCTCGGCAGCATTTCTGCCATTCAAACAAAATAAACGTATGCCTTGGCTAGTGTATTAGTTTGTATTCCAGTACCACAGGAATCAGATACAGAGGGATCAGGACCAGAAAGGATACAGAGAAAAGAGGGAAGAGAATGTGCCCTACTAGTGGTAAAACTAAGAAAACAAAAATTCCCAGAATGGGGAAGGTGACCACCTCTGGTTCTCATTACTGAGGCAGAAGTTGGCACTGAGTACCTCTCAGGTAACTTTCAAGGTAGCTACCGCTACTATACGAAGTTTAATCATGCCCATAAAGCAGTTTAGGGGATCTTCACTTTGCTGTTTTCAAGGTCCTCATTTGAAAGGCATGTATTGTATTACAGCTAGGGTATCGACTGATATCTATATGCATTATCTATATATCACTTCCTTATAATAGTTCTGTCACCAGGCCAAATTTGGTCAATATGTTAGCTTGCACAAAAGCCAACTCATTTGCCTGACATGAATATACTAATTTTGTGGTTCATTAAACTCTATAAATATTTCTCATATTAAATTTACTATGCATCTTATCAGCACCAATACATATTTTCATCTGCCACTTCTACTTTAAATAATAAAGCACTGTAATCAGAACATGGAAGACATGGTACTTATATCTCTGAGAACAGCCTATTCTATTATTTTAGAAGATATTTACAATTTTTGAAAGAACCAACCACAGTATAGTTAATTGGCTGACAATAGTAACCTTTTTCATGATTTCTCAGGTATGATTCCCTTCTATCAAAACTAACTAAAAGGAAACTATTGATATGCTCCAAGAACAGTAGATCCCTTCAATCTTCTTTTCAAGGGAAAGACTGAGTACATACATTTTTTTAAAAGATATATGAATTTTGCAGTATTCTAATGGAAAAAATTTTTAAAGCTGAATTTTTTCAAAGCATGCTATATGTCTTTTCACACAAAAGTTCTATGCTTTCCAAGAGACCATCACTGTTAGCAGTTTAAATTTGTGTAAGGCTAATGATAAATGCAGATCATTATATTTTCTTATTTTAAGGTCATGTCCTAACACTAGCTACTAAAAAGGTCTCTCAATCCAAATTATAGTGGGCCAATTAAAATTTAATTTCAATTTGGATGATTAGAGGTACACCAAAGTTACTTACTTTAGTAATTTCCTATAGATAAAATTTCAGTATTAGTTGGCCAAAATTTATTATATATAAACCTTCAATGTGTAATTTTAGATCTACTAGTAAAAAGAAATATTTTTTTCAAAAGCACAATATTTCTCTTTATACTGTACATTATATATTATCTAGTTATACTAGCATTTTAAAACACAAGCATTCTCGCATAACTGCACTAGAAAAGGTACCTGTGGAGTTACTACAAATTCTCTCTGCTTTTTACTCATCAATATTTTAGGATAAAATAGGAATACATGCCCACTTAGTTTAAATTTTCTCCTTGGAGCAAGTATATTAACAACCAATAGTTACGACAGTACAGGGAAAATGGGAAAGTTAACATGGAAGAAAAGTTTAATCTTTCCTTTAAAATAAGGTAGGTAGTTGGTGCTCTACTTTAGTGGTGTTTTTATTTTACTTCTGGTGAAGAGAAAAAGAGAAGACATTACAAAGCTACTTCTAAGAAAACACTGCCCTTTTTTTGTTGTTCGATTCTATGCTGCATTTTAAAAAATCTTGCAGCACATATAAAAGTATTAATGTATTTTAAATTGTATTTGAAAAAGAAAATTTGCATATAAGGTGTAAAACCTTTTCTAAAACCTGAAGAATTAAATTCAGTTTTGGTTAGTACTGCTCAAGAGTGAAAAATTTAAATAAACATCTGAAATTTCTCATAAATTAAAATCTGTAACATTGTCAGTACTAAAGGAAATTAGGTACTATTATTTCATCCCAATCACTGCCTTTACGGTTTAATAACAAAAGCATTTAAAGAAATCCCTGTGGAAAGCTAATTTGAAAGTAAACATGCTTTAAAACTTAAATATAGATCCTGTATTAGTCCCACAATAGGATCAAGATCACTATTAAAATTAAGCCTGGGGCACATTATGATTCCTAAGATTGGTGGGTGGATTTTAATTGACTTGAAGACTGTCATCGTTCTATTATCAGAAAACCTGTAACGCATTTCCAGCATGGAGGACCCATCTGTGCCCACCATCCATCTGTTTAGACGTGATTGGCAAAGTGGTAGGGAACTCGCAGTGGTTGCCTCTGCCTGAAAGGAATAAACCACAGGATCTTCCAACGAGTGCCAAAAACTTCTGAGAAGGTCTGCTGCCATGGCTTTCGGGGCCTCGATCTACAGAAGACAGCATTATTAGTGAAAGACAGCACTCCCATGGTGCACTTCAGTCAGCTAAAACAATACAGGTTGGCTGGGGATCCATTACTGGACTCTGATGAATTGTGTCCCAGCATCACAAATACAGCTTTTCTTTCATTGTGGCATGCAGCTGAGTTTTAACTCTGGATAGCATATATTGTATCTGTGTCGTCAATCAACCTAGGGCAACTTTTGAAGCAGAGGAGAATCTCAGGATTAACAGAACGCGTGTCAACAACACAGTAGCAAACCTCTTTTGATGTACTTTCAGGACAAATAATTTAACTTACTTTACTTCGACAAGGAACAAGAATGATCAGCACTTATTTTGTTTAAAAACTATCATGGCTAGAAGACCCCTACTGTAAGACTGGGTTATGCCTGTCTAGCTCAGGCCTTAGACAAGGCACCAAAAAAAAGCTGTCATTATATTAGCTTTCCACTACATGCACACATTTTTCAAATCTGGCCAGTTGTTTCCATTTTTAACAAGAACACTACAGACTTCACTTTTATACTTACATATCTTCACAACAGTTTGACATCTTTTCAATAGATGTTGTATCCTATTAAAAATTTAAAAAATTATACTCAGATGTAACAAAGTTATCAAGGCTTTATCCTATATTATTTTTATAATGTTTTTAATCATATTCAGAGAATATGCGAAGATTTAAACAGTTTATATATAGGTACTAAGAATTCTAAATTATCTACATATCTTGGTTGAAGTTCTTGTGAAACAAACAGACTCAATACTACACTGTGTCAAAAAAAAATTATTCAATTACAAAACCTCACAAAAATTGTAGGAGTCTCACTTCTTTAAATTTTAACCTTTTATTATACTTTATTCCTTGAAAATTCTTTTAAAATTCTATTACCTATTTCTAATTCAACTGTCAGTGAAGATGCATTAAAAAAATAAATACCAAAATGACAAAGACACCAATAAACAGAAAACGCCAACAGCCAAAGAGTGCTACTGATTCTGGATTTCTGTTAACAAACACGAATTCAACAAGGCAATCTACGCATTTGCCATACTACGACATCTAGTATTCTGAAAAGTAAAGTGATCTCATTAGTGTTCTTTGGTTAAAAATTATTCCCTTTTTTTCAACAGAAAAAATCAGTCTCTTTGATAATAATACAATTCTTTATTATGTGTTTTTTATAAGGCTGTAAGAAATAAATAAGGAAAACAATTCAACAAACAAAAGGTAGTTTCCAGACATGCTAGTTTAATTCATGTTAACAGAAGATCTATAATTAGGTTGAGAAACTGTGACGATAAGTAACATCTAAATAATTAAAACACAAATTACTTATTCTGCTTTTTAAATGTACTTCAAAGTAGTACAAAAATATATTCTTTTAAATATACCAAAAAGTTAGAGAAATTTTTCTCCTCTTATCCTTTACTAGCTTGCTCATACATGGCAGGTGGACTGTATTGTTATTAAGCAGTACTATTCATGCAAATATTTGTGGCTTCGACTCCAATCTCAAGAACTTCTTTGATTGTAGAACTTTTCTCCAATGACACTAAGAAAAAGTACCTTTACTTTAAAAGACTTTTATAGAAGTTACATGAATAGCTCATAATATTAAATTGTTATGTATGAAGTCGAATAACTACAGTTAGCTCACTATATAGGAAAATAAATTTTTTTTAGATGACTAGTCACCAATAACAGAGTTTCATTTCCGAATTACCCAGGAATTTGGGACAAGACTGTAGATTAGCTATCTATTCTATATTTATTAGTTTTCCTATCATGCTTTGATATTCATGGTATCCAATGACAATTCTATTTATAATTAACTTTTGGGGGTTCTGTTGCATAATTTCCTCAACATAATATTTTACTTTGTGACAATATTGATTAGGAACTTAAGAAGAAAGCTAGGCCTCTGGTTTCACATCGGTAAAGAAAGTAAATGAAGTAATTTTAATGATTTCTTAGAACTGATGGGTTGGTCATAGGCAGTTCTAAACAATTAAGATAGCTTGTGCAAAGATACAATGGGAAAGAGAGGACAGAAGTCAAGAAGTGCTATTAGCAAAGGTATATATAAATGACCTAAAATTGTAGCTGTGGATAATACTTAAAAATTGGAAACTATTTCAGGATGAAGAAGCAATTACAAAGTCAGCTTACTATAGCTAGCTAATATTACAGGCAATTTTTACTATGCAGAATTTACAACTTGATTATAACTTTGAGGAACTTATATGTAGCAATAAAAGAATCAAGTTTAAAGGCTTTGGATTTAGACCTCGTACGGGAAAAGCTTTAATTTTTTTTAAAGCTGTTGACATTCTTCTAGAATCTGGTTCAAGAAAAAAGTAGAATACTACCTTTTAAATAATGATAAACATATGGTTATTCTATCAGAGGATGTAATGTTTACCAAGACGCTATGAACATGATTAGTCAGAATAGCCAAAAATGGCTATGTTTTCCCTCTAGAAATAACAAATACTTATCTCTCTGAAACTCAGCTATCCAGAAAAAAAGAACAATTTGTATTTGAATATGTCACAATGTTTTTGCACTGGCATTTATGTAACATACTCAGAGCAACACAAGTTATCA